TGTGTGTGTGTGTAGGGTTGTGTTTAAGTTTACAATTAAATGGCATCACATTCAAAATTATTAAGCCAAACCTAAGTTTTTTTTTTTTTTATGTTCAGGAGACTAATATTCGGGCACACTTTAATTTTGGGACCAATTGTAACTATTAACTATTACCTATGACTTTTGCCTAAGTAAACGGAGTTTAGGTATGTTGTAGGATTAAGGGATCTAAAATATAGTCATGCAGAATAAGGCATTAATGCTTTATAAGCACTAAAAAACAGCCAATATGCTAGTAATATGCATGCTAATAAGCAAATATATTAGTGAGAATTGGTCCCTAAACCAGTTACCAAATATTCATACATACCTCATTTTAACACCCCTGTAACAAACACTTCCTACTGCTATTCATGTAATCCATATACTTACTGAGACATTTCTATGTAGAAATAGCTAAAGAGGTCTGGTTATGCCTGAGAGCTTTCTAAAGACAGGTGATTGATGAACTACATGGCAGTTGCTTCCTGAAGGAAAAGTATTGCAAACAAATTATTCACAGAAGGTTGAGGATTTTTTGTGTAAACCATAAAATGGTTCAGATATTATTTATGTCAAATTGATCAGTTCAGCATTCAGGTTAAGCGATCCTGTTTTCATGACTCACTGATTAGACCGTCTCTTACAGGGTAAATCATGTCATCTTTCCTGGAGAAGCCTACCTGTATCCCTCAGACAACAGACCATCTCCGGTTCAGGCGGTTTGCTGAAGTCAACTTAAGTTGAATGGAATAAGGATAGGGGCGCTTGAGATCACTATCTCCTGTTGCAATGTTAAACTTCTATGTTGAGCGGACCCGCATGTTTTACAAAAGAATCCTTCTCTTGATTGATCAGCTGGCATGGCTTGTGAACATAGCAAGTGGTCAGGCTGAAGAATAATTAAGTCCTTGTTAAACAATGGACAGCTTTTAGGAATTAGTTTGCAGAGAAGTGCTATGATTTTGAAAGAATAATGATGAGAACTTTTACTGAAGTCCAATGGAAGACAAACTTTAGAGCCACAGCATAACACACTGATATATATATATATATATGACTTTAGAGAACACAAAAATGGGAAATTAAGTTAATGAAGGCCATATTAGAAACATGTATGAGCTTCCAACACACTCAAATGTGTAACTATTTTAAGTTTTGGTGAGTTAATGGCTAAAAGGGATGCCAATAAATTATAGCATAGGTTGCACTATTTTTCTTGAATATTACATTTCACTTAGACCAATATTCTTTAAGTTCCTCAGTCATTTTTAAGTAAAAGTAAAGGTCAGTCTCTTAGAAGTATGCTAGGTCTGTTTAACCAGATACGGCAAATATGCATTTCACAAGTTCACCTTAACATAAGTGAGATAAATGCAAGATAAAGGTAAAGATATTTTGCTTTTTGTTCATGATGGAAGGCACAAGCTCATTCGTCCCTGGATTTCTTAAATGTATGAATTAAAAAAAAAAGTGAAGATGAAGTGGGGATGATTAAAAAAATGTAATTGGAGTGTCCAGAATAGCTCATGCAACACACACATATGCACCTTTGAAAAAAAATATTTTATTACACAGAATACAAAAAAAAAACTTTTCCATTCTTTAAAAAAAATTCCCCTTAAAAAAAAAAACTGTACAATACTTAAAAAAAAATCACCATAATAATAAGAATATTATTCACAATAATCTGAGAAATTTCCCAAAGTCCAAGTCAATGTCCCTGTCATCACAGTGCTGGTCTCCATACACTCAGTCCGTGTAAGTCGTACACATAAGGCCGGTATGGATAGGATTTGTAGACTGTCGCTAAAAGTGAAGCTCTTAAAAAGTCCTCCTCTGTAGCAGCCATAGCGGTGGCTTCTGCTTTCTGAAAGTAGTCCTTGCCGTGCTCTGTCGTTAACTGCCTCCGTTTGGTTTTATATCTCCTGTTCTGGAACCAGATTTTGACCTGCGTCTCCGTCAGGTGCAGCGCGCTGGCGAGGTGCGTGCGCTCGGGCGCGCTCAGGTACCGCTGACGGCTGAACTTCTTCTCGAGCTCCAGCACCTGCAGGTGCGTGAAGGCGGCGCGAGAGCGCTTCTTTTTTCCGCCGCCCGGCATCTCTGCGGACGACACTGCTTTATCCTCAGAGCTCCGACAAACCGAGATATCCTCTGCATCTGTGAACGTAAGTACACGATAAAATTAGGATTCTAAACTCATTTTCTCACAGGAAAATTGGTCTCAGAACAGATCTAAACCTGACAGAGATCTGCGGCGATCTCGCGTGCCCTCAAACATTCAATATCGGGTCTACTTTTAACTAACCGCATCCACTTACCTAAACTATCTACCTACCTAGTTTGACATGCAAAGGATACAACTGCCTAATCTTAACTAACTAACCTAGAAATGCACACCGAAATAGTCTTCAAAGTGCAGTACCTGTTCGTCCATCTGTGCTCTCGGCTCTGTCGCGCTCAGATTTGCAGGAGTCATCTTTTTTATCCTCTTTTAAGGATAAGATGTCCTCTATGAAAAACGACGTCAGCTGCTTGTTTGAAGCCGCCATCTACGTTGTTAAATTCCTGATAAAGTTATAAGGATAACGCGTCTTCGTCCTCCGGGTAAGTAATCAGCACTTTCACTCTCCAGCTCAGCTGCAGGACTTTAAATAGCGCGAGAGCTGCTGTCTCTTCTGCTATTGGAGGAGCGTCCTGCGCTGCGTCATCGGTCCAGGCTCGCTGATGGCTAAAACAGACGCGTCTTTATGAACCATCATTCTGTCAAACTCTGTCCTGAAGTCTTAATAAATTTACACACTGCTGGCACAGATTTTTCTTATTTATATTTACTTTATAGCTGTCCTCACCCAAATATAAATAAAAAATATAATAAATACAATACACAAATCTATCTATCTATCTATCTATCTATCTATCTACCTGCAAATTATCTATCTATCTATCTATCTATCTATCTATCTACCTGCAAACTATCTATCTATCTATCTATCTATCTATCTATCTATCTATCTACCTACTGTATGTGTGATGGATATTTATAGTGTCTAGTGTAATATTGTTTGAAATTAGTTTGATATAGACTATTCACATCATAGTTTAATTTCTATTTTATTTTATTATTATTTTTTTGCTTTAATTTAACATTATATAT